GCAGCAGCAGCAGCCACTTCCTCCTCCTGTCTCGGGTCTTCGGACCCTTGGTCTCCCCTCCCCTTCTCCTCCCTCCTCCGCCTCTCCTACTGTCTACGGTCCCACGTTTCCTCCTCCTGACTCCTCCCCCGCTGTTTTCCCTAGTTCTCCGCCTTTTTCCTCTCCTCCTCCGTCTCGTTCTTGGGCTACTCGTCGCTCCCCTCGTGCTCGTCCCTCGTCTCCTGTTCCCTTCACTGACCTTCGTACTGCCTTCCTTCTTTCTAGTCCACCTCGTCCGTCTCAGTCTGTGCTTCCGTCTCCTCCTGAGTCGGCCCTCACTGTGTCGCTCCCTACTCCTGTCACTGACTACTACCGCACGTACCGTCCTGTTCTCTCTCGTGTTCTCGCCTCTCTTGTTACTCACCCTCGTGCCTCTGTGTCCTCTGTGTCCGCTCTTACTGCCGCAGTTACTGACTTTGCCTCTACCCGCCGCCTTGACTACGCCACCACGCTTGTGGCTGCTCCTCCTACCAGTCCTCTGGCCGTCGGGGGTGTGTCTGCCCTTGGCTGTGACGCCCTAGAGGACAGGCAGTTTGAGCTAGAGTTCCTGGCGGCCGCTTCCCCTCATCTCTGTGCCATGCTCCTCGCCCCTGAGGGTGACCCCGACGCCCTTGACATTCCGACTCCTCGCACTTACGCTGAGGCAGTGTCATGGCCTTGGGCCTCTCAGTGGAGAGCTGCCATGGACGCAGAGATGGCCTCCTACAGATCCACAGGCACCTACGTCGATGAGGTTCCCCCCCCTGGGGCGAACGTAGTCGACGGCATGTGGATCTACAGGGTGAAGCGGCCACCGGGATCTCCCCCGGTCTTCAACGCGCGCTACGTGGCTAGAGGTTTCAGTCAGCGCGAGGGAGTTGACTTCTTTCAGACCTTCGCACCTACCCCGAAGATGACCACTCTTCGGGTGTTACTACACGTAGCAGCACAGAGAGACTACGAGTTACACTCTCTCGACTTCTCCACTGCTTTCCTTCAGGGCAGCCTACACGAGGAGGTCTGGTTGCGTCGTCCCTCGGCCTTCACTGGCACCTTCCCTCCTGGGACCCAGTGGAGGCTGAGGCGACCTGTTTACGGTCTTCGCCAGGCCCCTCGTGAGTGGCACGACACTCTGCGTTCTACCCTCTCTGACCTTGGGTTCCAGCCGTCTTCTGCCGACCCGTCGCTGTTCGTTCGTCGTGGCTCCACACCGTTCTTTGTTCTGGTTTACGTCGACGACCTCGTTTTCGCCACTCCGGACAGGGTTGCTTTGGCAGACGTGAAGTCCGAACTGCAGAAGAGACACACGTGCACTGATCTTGGTGAGCTGCGCCACTACCTTGGCCTGCAGATCACCAGGGACAGAGCCGCTCGCACCATTACACTCTCACAGTCACACATGGTGCAGCAGGTCCTTCAGCGGTTCGGGCTTCAGCACTCCACCGTACAGCGCACACCTCTAGCTGTTGACCACAGACTCACTGGTCCCTTTCCTGACGAGCCGTTTGAGCCTAGTGGTCCCTACGCAGAGCTTGTGGGTTGCCTCATGTACCTGATGACTTGTACTCGCCCGGACCTCGCCTTCCCTCTCAGCATCCTTGCGCGCTTTGTTGCGCCAGGGAGACACCGTCCTGTTCACTGGACGGCAGCTGTGAGGGTGGCGAAGTACCTAGCGACTACATCAGGCGTGGGGCTAGTTCTTGGAGGGCAGCAGTCTGTCGTACTCACTAGTCACTGTGACTCCTCTTACGCTGACGACGCTGAGACTCACAGGTCTACTCAGGGGTACTGTTTCAGTCTGGGTTCTGGAGCTGTTTCCTGGCGTTCCACGCGCTCCTCTTCTGTCTCGACCTCTACAGCTGAGGCTGAGATTTACGCTGGTGCCATGGCGGCACAGGAGTTGCGTTGCTTGACCTTCTTGCTCGCCGACCTTGGTGAGCGGCCGAGCTCTGCACCGACCTTGTTAACTGACAACAAGGCGTCGATCCTCCTCTGTCGTGAGCCGCGACTGGAGAGCAGAGTGAAGCACATTCACGTCAGGTACTTTCTTCTGCGAGAGTTGCAGAGACGTGGACAGGCTCGCTTCGAGTTTGTGGAGTCCGAGGCCAACACTGCAGACATCTTCACCAAGGCGCTTCCGCCTCGTGACCACCAGAGGTGTTGTGTGCAGTTAGGCCTTGTTGACACAGGTTCTAGTCATGTGTAGGCTTGAGTTTATTGCCTGCTTCGTCTGTACTCTTGCTATATATACTTGTGAACTCTTGGACTGGCCTTGTGGCCACTGTTGCTTGTGCTCAGAGAGTGTGGTGACGTTGTGATCCACCCTGAGCTTTGTTTTCTTTTGGACTGGTCTTGTGACCGTACTCTTTTTTATTTTGCTAGACACCCCTCACTTAGGCTATGGGGGTGTGTCAAATGTTGTAGCCTGTAGTGAGGTTTGTCTTAGGGGGTACAGAAGTTAGGGTTTGTTATATGTACCCCAACCAACATCAATGGCATCATCATTCCTCATTTTGACACGAACATTATATAGCGAAACTACGGTGGTAACGGTAATGGTCGCGCGACGAGCCTGGGACTGAGGTTGGGAAAGTGTCGAAGCGTAGGTCCGGAGCGCGGGTTACCAGCCGAGCCGTGAGGTCGGGATGCGATGTGCGAAAAAGGGCGGGATGATGAATGATGCGATGGTCGCAAGTGGTAACGGTGCTGACTGAGGTGCTACAGTGATGTACGCGTTGAGCAGGGACGCGAAGTAAGGAAAAGGGAATTTCCTTACAGTAATATACACTTGTCTTGGAGCTGCTGGGATGAAACACTTCGGACATGGGAATGCTTCCAAAACATGGTTAGCTGGTCAGATCTTAGCTGTTTGCATCCACGTGCCGAAAGTATCTGCGTCTCCATTCAGCGGACTCGCAGGTATACCCACGCGTCTGACGCATTCAGCTTTCACCCTGCGCTCCGTGATTTGTGCGAAGTCGAACAGCTGCCAAGGGTTGTGAAGGCGCGCAGCAGGAAGGAGGAAGACGAGACTACCCACCAACTCCAATCCAATCCGCCCTGCAAATAAAAAGTTTGCTCATTGGAGTGTTAGACCAAATCAGATACGCAGAAGCGGACACAGATTGAGTAATAACATCCTTTCGGAAAGCCTATCATTCACCATTCCGCACACCATAATTTAGAGAGTATCGTACCCCAGGTTCATTCAACTTTCACGATCATCAGAATGGCTCGAGCTGCGGTTTTCGCGCTCTCTCTCGCGCTGCTGCTCGTGGTGGCGCGCGCCGGCAGCCCCATCACAAGCCCAACGGCGAACGAGAAACCCGACCAGAGCAGCAAGAAGGATGACGGGCTCATGACCGAAATCCCCGCGGCCATCGCGAAGCAGGCGGCGGCGGGCAACGCGGAGGGAGTGACATACGTTGACACGGCGCAGGACACGTTCTTCATGGCTGATGTGAAGAAGGCTGGGTGGAACGCGCAGAAATGCCCGCCGGGTTTGAACAAGGAGCTGGCGGGCGCGTGCACGCCCAAGAATTGCTCAAAGGGCGGCATTCCCGCCAAGTGGAAGACGGCGTACCTGCAGAAGAACAAGCTCGGGTACGAGCTGTACGTGCCGGGTAACCCGCTCACGCTGCTCAAGGCCAACCCCGCGTCGTGCTGCAACACGTGCGCCGCGACGCCGGCTTGCACGTACTGGCAGTACATTCCCGATATTACCATTGACGGGAAGAAGGGCAAGGGCGCGTGCTACCTGATCCACGACCAGATCGACTTCACGTGCGGAGAGATGACCGCGCAGTACAGCACGGAGACGAAGCCCGTGCCGCTTCAGGTGCGCATCGGCGGCGAGTGCAACCCGAGCGCCAAGATTCTCAACGACCCGCATCTGGTGGGCGCGCACGGCACGCACTTCGACTTCAACGGCCGCCCCGACAAGGCGTTCTGCCTGCTGACGGACCGCGACCTGCACGTGAACATGCTGCTGCGTGGGTACTACGACGAGCGCACCGACAACGCGGCTCTCGTCGTCGACGGCAAGGCCGTGCACACGTGGATTAAGGAGCTCGGCATTGTGTGGACCGCCAAGGGCGTCGACCACAAGATTCGCATCGCGGCGCGCGGCGGCAAGCAGCAGGAGCGCGGCGATGGGTTCGTGAAGAGCATCGAGATTGACGGCGAGGCGATTCAGCGCATGCAGGTGGGCGACAGCGTGACGAGCGACGGCGGGCTGACGATTCAGTTCCGCGCGCTGGAGAAGGAGGGGCCGTTCGATGTGGATTACTACCTTCTGACGATCGACGGCCTGATTTCGCTCGACCTCCGCCTGCGCGTGGCGCACCCGAAGCTGCAGACGCCGAGCGACGCCGAGGCGCACATTAACGTTGGCATTGCGGAGCTGGAGCACACCGACGCGATCCACGGCGTGCTCGGTCAGACGTACCGCGACGACCACGCGCAGCGCGCCGCGGACTTCCAGAAGCTGATCGCGAGCCTGCACCGTCCAATCTCCGCCGACGGCGCGGAGGGACAAGGGTTCCTGGATGGCACGCCTCGTTCGTACGAGGCGAGTGACGTGCTTGCTGTGGACTGCGCTTATACCGCGTATGGGCGCGCCAGACAAGTGATGCCCGTGCAGGAGTTCCCCTAAATAGCGAGTTGCAGGTGTATCGTACGGTGGGCTGGATCTTATTTGGGACTTGGTTTGTGGTTATACGTCGATTTGCAAGCTAGCAGGCATTGATATTGCCACCTTGATGTACACTACCAAATTGAATTCAATTTATATTCTATACAGCTTGTTGTCATCTAGGTAGCTGAGCTGGCCAAGGTAAGGGACAATCTGATCAGACCTATCTAGTCCTTATTTGTGTTGTCAGCGTTCCACTTCACTAGTAATATCCGTCAGCCCCACCCAACCCTGTCACTCAAGGAACACCTACATCAAGCAGACTAGTTAAAACCCGCGGGCCAAGAAGTTAAAGCTTAGGAAGCTTGGTTGGGAACAGATATGCCATTGGTACACGAAGGGACTGAAACGTCGAAAAGGTTGGACTGGAGAGCGCCTGCTGGATCCACTGCCGCCACTCCCCGACCTCCTCCTTCCGCCCCTCCCCTCCGCCTCCCGCCTCCGCCCCGCCTTCCCCCGACCTCCCGCCACCACCGCCCGCAATCTGATCCGCGCTGGCTGCTGCTGGGGCTGGGAGCGGGGCGAAGTGGAATGGCGCTGCAACGGGGAAGAGGGCGAGACGAGGAGAGGGATAGGCATGGTTGAATGAAAGGTGAGGTGCGAGATGGTGCGTAGTAAACTGAGAGGGAGGAGGGGGCTTAGAGCGCAATGAAGCCCCCAGCGATCTCATCAGCGTAAGGGATGCGCGCGGAGAAGGAACTGGTAAGGGGATGGCAGAGCGGAACGGATGATGTCAGCATGATTGATGGCGGTGGGGTTTGAAGAGTTTGATCGATGGTTTGTAACGGGGACAAATGGATGCGATCGGACGGTTCAGAAACTCTCGAGGTACGCGGAGATCCCGAGGTGACGTCGGCAGGAGAAGATGACGTCACTAAAGCCACGATTCGCTGGCCTTCTCTCAAGCCGCGACGCGCCGACGTGGCAGCCGCCCGCCAGGCTAACTGAGAACAATGCGACAGCGCGAGTGTGCAGCGGGAAATGTGCTTGCGCGAGTGTGCCGTGGCGAATGCGACAGCGCGAGGGAGCAGCGGCGCATGCGACAGTGCGAGCGTGCTGTGGCGAAATGCCTAACGCGAGTGAGCCGCGGCGAACCCTCAATGTCACGAATGTTTCACACTCGTGCCGAGTGCGAGATGCGTCTTAGCAATCGTGGATATATGGGTAATGTAACCCTAAAGAATCTGGGCGCGACGCGCCATACCATAGGATCTTGCTAAGGTCGTACGTGGTCGTCCCGATGGCATTAGATTGTACTTTATTCTCGTCATTAGTAGATTCCTAAGGCTTTGTGCGGCAATGTGGGTTGCGTTGACGACAATGTTCACGCACCGGACGTTGTTATCGAGCTGCGCATATGTCCAGTGCGGTTTGTTGGCGAATAGCTCTTGCTCAGCGACTATAATAGTAGTTCTTAGATAGCGGGTCATGTTTGTTGAGGTTGGTGTTGGGCGATCTTTCCGTGCGATGTTCATAGGGCTGAAACGTCGTTGCTACAGTGCTTTGGGTTGGCGAAAGTTGAGTTTGGGCCTTGTGTGTTGACCTTGTTGGCCCCTGGTGGGAACCGGGTTACACCCAACCAAGGTTAGGAAGCTTGAACCAGTTTCGTGCTTCTTGACCCTCCGGTTTTAAGGGGAGAGTGCATCAACACTGCAATAGCTTCCCGGTCCATAGCTGCCACCACGTTTCTCGGGTCACTCTCTGGTCACCTTCACGGTTAAGCTTTCTTCTTCGAAACAGTGTTGTTGGGGGGAGAGTATTTCAAGACCGCCACGTCATCAACCATCACCGACCCGATCCACAACTTCCCCTTCTTCTCCACAACCTCGCTCGCTGCCACCACGTTCCGCCCCAGCTTATCCTCCAGCACGTCTGTGATCACCCCCTTATTGTCAACCTCCACTATAATCCCGTGCGACAGCCCCACCGCTGCCACGTAGGCAGCCTGCAGCCCTACCGGGTCGTTGAGCAGCCTGTATCGCGCGTAGGGGCTCCTTGCTAGGACCTCTGTGGGAGGAACAATAGAGAAGAAACATTTGGGTAAGATGGGGGGTGAAAATCAAGAAACAGCCCCACTAGGTTGCATGCAACCCCCACTGGGTAATGAGAAGCCTGTAGAGCGCATAGGGGCTCCTTGCCAGGACCTCTGTGGGAGGAACGAGAGGGATGCGGACAGAAAGGAGAAAGATCCCCAGGTGGGATGTGCCAGGACCTCTGTGTGTACGTAGGTGTTATCCTCCAGGTGTTATCCCCCAGGTACTTCCTGCCGTGTACCTGGCATGGTAACTCATCGGAACTTCTTGGCACACGCATGGGTGGATGGTAATCCAACGGGGGTGACTTTTGAGTCGACTCAAAAGTCACTTTTTGGCAAACGCACGGGTGGTAATCCAATGGGGGTGCATTGCAGGTGCATGCCACAAGGAGGCTGGCTGCTACGTACCGGACATGGGAGTTCGTCTCGAGTTGATTGCGATCCAGAATCGTCCCCTGGGGTTGAGGCTCACGTTGTCAGGATACCCGGGCAGGTTTACAAACATTTCAGCCTTGCCCATCTTTGGCCCTCGGATAAAGTACCGATGACACCTGCATGACCAAAAGGTTGGCTCAGCATTGGAATGTGAGAGAGAAGGTCGAACAATGGGAGAGTAATGGAACGTGAAGTGGCACAGCGTGCAACTAAGAACCTTTTGGCATGTTCCTTTCCCTGGAAAAATAAGAGAAGAGCCGTGAAGCATCAAGGCCAGGGTACCACCAGTCATCAGAACACAAGCAGAGCACAGTCCCTCACCGCATGTGGCTGGTTTCACACAACACCAAGAACGTGCGGTTGCGGGAGAGTGCAACACCACTTTTGAGGCGCCTCAAAAGCAGTCACAGTCACAGTCACAATCACAGTCGAGAGTGCAACACCACTTTTATGGCGCCTCAAAAGCAGTCACAGTCACAGTCACAATCACAGTCACAGTCACAGTCACAGTCGTCACAGTCACAGTCACAGTCACAATCACAATCACACAGTCACAATCACAGTCACAGTCACAGCCACAGTCACAGTCACAGTCACAGTCACAGTCACAATCACAGTCACAGTCACAATCACAGTCACAGCCACAGTCACAGTCACAGTCACTATCACAGTCACAGTCACTATCACAGTTACAGCCACAGTCACAGTCACAGTCACAGTCACAGCCACAATCACAGTCACAGTCACAGCCACAGTCACAGTCACAGTCACAATCTCACAGTCACAATCACAGTCACAGTCACAATCACAGTCACAGTCACAGTCTTAATCACAGTCTTAATCACAGTCACAATCACAGTCACAGTCACAGCCATAGTCACAGTCACAGTCACAGTCACAATCACACAGTCACAATCACAGTCACAGTCACAATCACAGTCACAGTCACAGTCACAGTCACAATCACAGTCACAGCCACAGTCACAGTCACAATCACAGTAACAGTCACAGTCACACCCAGTCACAATCACAGTAACAGTCACACTCACAGTAACAGTCACAGTCACAATCACAGTCACAATCACAGTAACAGTCACAATCACAGTAACAGTCACAATCACAGTAACAGTCACAATCACAGTAACAGTCACAGTCACAGTCACAATCACAGTCACACCCACTCACCTCACATAGCCAGTTTCACAAGCACAGTTCCTCACCGCATGTAGCTGGTTTCACAGAAGACCACTAAGGTGCGGTCGCGGGAGATTGCAACGCCATTGGCGAACGCCACCCCCTTCACCACCACCTTGGTTGTCCCTGCACCTCGTGTACCTCTTTTCAGAATCGCTCACCGCATGTAGCTGGTTTCACAGAAGACAACAAACGTGCGGTCACGGGAGATCGCAACACCATTGGCGAACGCCACCCCCTTCACCAGCACCTTGGTCTGCCCCGTTGCAATGTCGTATTGCATAAATCTCCCGTCCGGCTGCCCTTCCAGTGTTGCCAGGAAGAAATCCCTGCAGGGAGTAGGGGTACGGGGAGGAGGTTTATAGACGAGTGGGGAACAGGTTGGCGGAGCTTTTGAGTCGACTAGAAAACCTTCCAGTGTTGCCAGGAAGAATGGAAGGTTTTCTAGTCCCTGCAACACTGGAAGGTTTTCTCGTCCCTGCAACACTGGAAGGTTTTCTCGTCCCTGCAACACTGGAAGGTTTTCTAGTCAGACTCAAAAGCTAAAAACCCTGCTTTTGAGGCACTCTCTTCCAGGCAACACTGGAAGGTTTTCTGTTCCCCATTCACTAGAAACCCTAAATCCCTGCAGAGAGTAAGGCACGGGGAGGAGATTTAAGACGAGAGGGGCACAGGTTGGTGGGGGGAGAGCGGGTGGATGGGAATTATGGAGAGTACAAAGGGTCTGCAGAACGCTACTCCCTTCACCGGGACATTCGCTGCCCCCGTTGCAATGTCTTATTTCTCCTTGAGGCGCCTGAAACATGTCCCAAGTCAATGCAAGGCAACTCACTTGCGCTGCCAGCGAGTGCTCCCATCGGTGAAGTAAACCACCCCGTTCTTCCCGTCCGCGTCAACATCAAGGTCGTGGGTCATCAGCATGCGCTTCCCCACCACCACATTCCAAGCCAGTGGAATAAAACGTGCATCCAAACTCACTTTCTTTGCCACCGGGTGCTCCCATCAGTGAAATACACGACGCCATTCTTCCCGTCCGCGTCAACATCAAGGTCGTTGGTCATCAGCATGCGCTTCCCCGCCACCACATTCCAAGCCAGTGGAATAAAACGTGCATCCGAACTCACTTTCTTTGCCACCGGGTGCTCCCATCAGTGAAATACACGACGCCATTCTTCCCGTCCGCGTCAATATCAAGGTCGTTGGTCATCAGCATGCGCTTCCCCGCCACCACGTCCACCAGCCTCTCCGCCTTGCCCCCGCCCGGCCCTACTCTGTGCAGCCCAAAGTAGGCGTCTGCGAAGTAAAGGTCGCTCGTGACTGGGTGGAAGCGCAGACCCAAGGGACGCCCGCAGATGGGCTCCATGCTGCTGTTGGTGGTCCTGCTGCCCTGACACCGCTCCTTGGACCTGGTGGGGAGAGGAGTGGTGGGGGAGGAGTGGTAAAGCTATGGGTCATGCACAAGTGAGTGCGCCGTCGGCCTGCCAAAGCCAGCTTCTCCGCCCCTCCCCCCGCCCGGCCCTACTCTATGCAGCCCAAAGTAGGCGTCTGCGAAGTGAAGGTCGCCCGTGACTGGGTGGAAGCGCAGACCCAAGGGACGCCCGCAGATGGGCTCCATGCTGCTGTTGGTGGTCCTGCTGTTGGCCTGACGTCGAGAGAGGATTTGCCTGTGAGACGTCTCGAAGGGCGCCCACCGATGACTTTTGAGGCGCCTCAAAGGGCGGGTGGTGAGTGAGAGAGGATTTGCTTGTTAGACGTCTCAAAGGGGGCCCACAGATGGGCTCCATGCTGCTGCTGCTGCTGCTGTCGCCCTGACACCGATCCTTGGACCTGGGGGGAAAGGGGGTTGGTGCGCGGTGAGAGGGTCCCACGAATGACAGGGGGTGTCAGGGAGGTGCGACGACGTGGGTAAGTTCCTCTCAAGAGTCTTTGAGTGTTTTGAGACGTCTCAAAACACGTGATCATAAAAGCGTTTCGAGATGTCTCAAAACACGAATGAAAGGGGGTGTCAGGGAGGTGTGACCACGTGAAGAAGTTACTTTCCAAGAGTCTCCCATCACATGTGTTGTCCTGGTTTGGACCGCCTCACAACCCGGCCGTCGCTCAATGACGCGTACCCAACACATCGACACTTATCACTAGCAAGACGCCCTTTCAAGATTTTGCGGGGCTCACCACTTGGGGGAAGCCCACGCGAATGTCTCCCATCGCATGTTGTCTTTGGACCGCCTCACAACCCGGCCGTCGCTCACAGACGCGTACGGGCCGCGGCCAGTTCCGTCCCATGCCAGACTCTCCGGTCCTGTTGCTTGTCCTGTGTACCTGCGGAGCGCAACGGAATAATCAGCACGCCCGAATGACTTCATGGAATCATTCCAAATGAACACGTAAGCAGGCCCGTAAGCGATTCTTGAGGCGCCTAAAAATCGCCTCCAAACACGCCCGGGTGACTTTATTGCATGATTCCAAATGCTGCTCTGTCCCATTCGAGCGTAAGCAAGCCCGTCAGCCTGCCTTGGGTAGCGGCGAATAAACGAAATGTTGGCACGGGTACAGCAGTAAGGTTGTGAGACCTCTGAAAGTACCGGTTCCAACCAAACGTCTGTCTTGGTCGTAACTGCCAGGAAAACGGGAGTTGTTCCCAGGTGACTTCTGAGTCGACTCAAAATTCACCACGACAACTAAATGTTGGTGCCAGATATGTTCAACACAAAAGCTTCGACGGAGCTGCAATGTATCGAAATCTCTTTAAAGTAGCTGCTTCGTTACATGCCTACGCACCTTCGTTCCGCGAGAGCGAGACGGTTCTCGCTGTCAAACTTTAGGGTTAGCGGAGCTAACGGGATGGATGCCGGCTTGAACTTCGTAGGGTCAACTGTGGGAAGCTCTACAGTTGTAGTCGCCACGACGCCATGAGGGATGGGCTGGAGAATAACTAGTAAACAGAGAGAGAGGAGAACGATATTGGAAGAGCCTCGCCACATTCTGTTTTGGAATCGATCAGCTGCTTGAACCGGAGTGTCCTTCGTGCAGAAGCTCTCGATAAGACGACAACCAGCTTGGCGATGCCTTGGCAATGCCTTGCGCAAAGCTTCGTGACCTGGAAAAGGCAGAAGCGTAGATAAAAAGGAGGTAGATGGCCGATGCTACATGGCAGCTGTTAGCAAATCCGTTCGGGTAATCAAGGTGCTCAGAAGTTCATCCAACGGTGACGCGCGTCACGGGATGGAGACTGTCGGTTTCGAATCTCGATTTGTCGGCAAGGCCTTGGAGTTTGGGGGGAATCTGACTGGCTGGGTCCACCAATTTGCTTCGAACCGCATTCCCGAAATGCGAGGCAGCATTCTTCGCGCGCGCTCCCATGAAGTCGGCTGGTTTGAAGCGCCGCGGGAATTGTGGTGGTGGTGAGGTTTGACAGCAACGGCATCGCTGCAGTCATATTCTCAACAGATTACAAGCGCGTTTACACATGTTGCGTGACTCGTACCTGATCAGTGTTGAGATTTACCATACACAATGAGTTGTCAATGTTAATCCACAACAGCTTCATATGCGCTCAACAGATTGACAAAACAAGCAAGCCTATGTAAGTTAATTATTTGCAATAATGATATTGCTAGTCCTAGACTGTGCAGCGCCATCAAGCTTATCTTTTTCCTAACAGAGAACCACTATGGCCACTTGAGGGTGGCAATATAGTCCTCAATAACTGAGCCTATCCACAGTTTCCCATCATGCTCCACGATCTCACTCGCATCCTTCACCACCTTCCCGTTCTTGTCCTCGAGCAAGTTGGTGATTTTGCCATCAGCATCTACCTCCACCACAATGCCACTGGCCCTCTGGTCCTGTGTGGCCTTCACAATCTTGTACCCAAGCTTGTTTTCCACAAATGTCTCTCGGATGAAAGGGGTTTGGGATGCAACAGCTGTGGGAGTGGAGGGATGAAGGGAAGGGAGAATCCGGATTGCATGATTGGGTCGAGCATGAGGACACACAGACGAGCAGGTACAAAACTGAGCCACACTGGTGACAATGAAGAGCAACAGGATGAGATGAGACTGAAGACTAAGGGGTGGGTGCTGAGGGGTGAAATTAGGTTTCACAATTGTCAACTCCAGGACGTACTTGCAGTGGGAGACCTCCTCGAGTTGAGTGCGATCCAGAACCTTCCTCTGGGGTTGAGACTGAGGTTGTCAGGGTACCCGGGTAAATTCACAAACACCTCCTTTTTCCCTGCCTTTGGGCCTCGGATCCAGTATCGGTGGCACCTGAAAGAACGAAGAGGATGAAATAAGGAGGTGTACGTGAACTGGCATGTACACTCTCTATAAAAACAATTAAGAATCGCACACATCAACAGCCAGCAGCGCACCTGAGATAGGTTGTTTCGCAGTACACCACAAACGTCTTATCCTGCGAAATCGCCACGCCGTTAGCAAAGGCCACTTTCTCGTCAATCACCGTCGTCACGCCGCTCGCGATGTCGTACTTCATGAACCGTCCGTCCTTCCGGCCTTCCAGCGTGAGCGGCAGAAAATCTCGCCGGTACCAACGCGAGCTGCCGTCCGTGAAATACACGACATTCGCGTCGGCGTCAATATCTAGGTCATTCGTCATCATGAATTTTCTCCCGTCGAGTGCGGAGACGAGCTTCGTAGCCTGCCCTCCCGCGGCGCTGACTTTATGCAGGCCGAAATACCCATCCGCGAAATAGAGGTCCCCGGTAGTGGGGTGAAACGCCAGGCCGAGCGGCCGCCCGCAGGTGGTTTCCAGCTCCGGGTTGGTTTTCTTTGAGTTACATTTCGCCGCAGTTCGCAGCGGCGACGCGTACGTGAACTCCTCCCAAGCGCTGTCATCGTCCTTGCGTCGCATGATTCGCCCGTCGCTGAAGCTGACGTACGGGCCCTTGCCATTAGGATCCCACGCGATACTCTCCGGGCCTGCCATCTCGCCCTCATACCTGGAGAGAGCGGGGGACAAAAAGGGTTGTTTTTCACTCGACTTATATAGTCACCTCCTGGCATTGTCACATGGCACAGATTCTGAGGCGTCTCGAAGGTCCCACGCTGTTCTTCCTGGGCTTGCGAGTGCGGGGCTCGTATGTGGGGAGTGAGGGGGACCGGGGGCCGAAAGATGGTGAATGGAGGTCACCCACCTCGTAAGGGTGAGGGAAATATGCGGGACGATGAAAGTGGTGGAGAATGGACTAGATTACAAGTGCCGCAGAATCTTTCACGTGTTCGCGGATTCACGTGTTCGCGGATTCTGGCGCTCGAAAAAGAGGTTTGGGTTGGTGGGAAAGGGTGGTTGGGTGAATAGATGGGAGGTGTGGTGGCGGGACGGAAACGCAGGGGTTTATGCAGGTTAATTTTACAGTTTCTTGTGACCCTTGCAATGATGATAAACCCATACGAGAAGCCAGAAGGGCAAATCACCGCGTAATAGCCTCACGTCAGAACAAGAGGAGCGCAAAGGATAGGGTTCTCGTGCAATTCTCTTCTTTTTGTACTTCTCCACAAGGGAAATTAAGTTTTTGTTTTAAGAAAGGCAAAAAGACGGCGCTTACCTCTTGGTGGCTCGTGCGAGTCGGTTCTTCTTGTCCGTCTTTGGGAAGAGCTTTGCAGGAGGAAGGTTCACTCGCGCGGCCTTGAACTTTTTGGACCACCGCTTTGTCAGCCCCGCCTCGGCATTCCCAAGACTGCCCAGCGCCACTAGCGCAACGAACGAGCATGCTAGGAGCAACGGCCCGCTAATACGGCTCGCCATGAGGTATTCAGCAGAAAGGTGGTGTGTCTACTTGGAACTTTTAGGCGCCTTATAAAGATCAAGATTCACGTAAGAAGGGGGTATGTCTGCTTTGAGGATACCAAGCGATGTGGAGACTGGAAGCTCCAGATAAGTTCCTGACGCTATCACTAGAACTGTGATGCGATGAAACGTCCCTTATTTCTGTCGTTTACAATGTCTTGATGCTCGTCGATAGGCCACAATGCTTCACTTGTTATTTGCACGACGACAGTCTGGGTCTACAGACAGCTCCAGTTGGCAGTGCGGCAAATGGACACGATTAGATGGGTTTCCGTCTGCGGTGCCGATAATATAGTGAGGCAGCGACGAAATACATGTACTGGCGTGAATGATGGTTGCCAATCCCAACGTTTCCGCAAATGTTTCCGTTCCCACCTTCGATGGTTGTGAAAGTTTAGTCTGTTCCCCCTCACCTCCGACATCAATTGAATTTCAGTTTCCAGAAAGCTGCAAGTGAATTTTGGCGGGGAGGATGGGAATTGGTACGGTGCGCACTTTTGAGTAGGGGGGGGTTGGGAGGACGCTGGGGGTGATTGTGTTCCGTGAGATCGAGTCGCGAGCGGTCCGAGTTTCGGAATTTACGGATTGGTCGGCCAAAGCGATGTCGGTGCGAGACTCGACGCAGTACGCTTGTAAGGGCGCGTGAGGTCTTTGAAATTTGTAAAAGTTAATGTTTTTAGGGCGAATTTTAGTTTCGAACTTACAACGAAAGAAGTTCGAATTTCCTTCTAAGTTCGAACATCGGGCTTACCACACTGTAAAAAATCACACACACATACAAGGTCGAACCCCGACATTCGAACTTGTAAAAACGAGCCGAGCCGCACGTCAACATCATAGGTTACCCGGTTCGCTCGTCTTGACGGTGCGCCACGTCAACATTTTGCGCCTCGGTTTACAAGGACCTAGTGCTCCAACTCACCTTCCGCGCCCAGTGTGTAACCAGGGTACAAATAGCCCCCGTGACAACACCTTGTATGCTGGACACGTGGCTACAACTGTGTGCACGAATTGTGGGGTGTCTTCGTTGTGCAACTTCATGCACTGGCGAAGCGCTCGCCCGTTTCGCCAGCTGTTCGGACGTGCTGCAAATCACACACGCTCGCATGAACGTGAGCACGCACGTTCGCGCCTCCGACTCGAGTCAACTTCATATTGAGAAAGCTTGCTTTCTTATTCTTATCAATTGGCATCGTTCTCATTACAAATGGCTTATTACAACATTTGCATCAACGTTGAGCACAAGCTAGTGCAATCGAATAACACTAGCTAAGATGTACCCTATCCAAGTGGCATCAGCAAGGCGGTTTACTCTGGGGTGGGTGGTGGGAGTGTTGAGTGAGCCGTTTGAAAATCGAGAAACGTGGGTGGAGGGAAATGAACTCCAACCCACGGTTTTTGTAGTTGGAGAAGGGCGTTTAGCGCGCTTCGACGATGCCAATTGTGCAGTACAAGCAGCTTCGCTTTCACAATACACAATTTTAAGAAACACAATGTGTGTTTAAAAAATTATAATATTTCAAACTCGAACTTTTGCAGAGCCCATACAATGCTTGGTTCGCGAAGCACCCTTCGCGAAATTAGCGAATAGGGTAACCACCCAAAGTTCGAACTTTATTTTGAACTTCTAAACAGACCACACGCGCCCTAAGGAATTTTCGCGACATTCCTTACGGAGCCCGACTACATCGCGTACAGCAACAGCCGTTGTTCGCCCGTTACTAACGGGGCTTCGCCGACTTCGCGCACAATGTTTCACCAAACCTCGCACTGCTGGCATGGCCGTGTCGGCCTACGCTTCGGGACTAGCCCGAGCCTCGCTCCAGCGTAGCACTAGCTAGCTCGCACGCACCGCGTTACCGTTTGCATGTTCGCATATAAATGTTCGCTCATGCATTCGTTCACATTTTTGTACTCGTTTAACACCTTAATGCAATTCTCGACGCGTGGTGCGCAGGTCTACGCGCTCGTTTCGAGCCAATCGCGGCTTCGATCGCGGCGCGGCAGAAGCTCCGCACTTGGCGCCAACTCGGTTCCGTCCAAGACTACACGAGCGGATTTCTGGCGCTATGTGAGCAGGTGGGATATATGCACGAGAGCGAGCGCATCGACCGCTACATCGGCGGCCTGAAGCAGGACATCGCTCAGGAAATCCAACTTCGCGGCCTCACCTGTGAAGATAGGAAAACAGGAATGAATGAACTATGAATGAAAGTAGTACAAATATGAAACCCTAACTGGGTTGTACCCCCTATGGGATACCCCACTACAGCCTACACAGCAGTATAAGCTATAGATATGTTCTGACACACCCCCATAGGCAAAGTGGGGGAGAACAAGGGGTCACAAGACCAGTCAAGCAAGACAAAGCAAAGCTCAGGGTGGATCACAAAGTCACCACACAGTCCGAGCACAAGAGCAAGGCCAAAGGCCAGTTCACAAGCAAGAGTACAGACATATATATAAAGCTAGACAAGCAAGAGCAGGTATATATATATGTCACAGTACAAGTGAAGTCAAGAGGAGAGCAAGTGAGGCAAGACAGGCACAAGACCCAGCTGGGTGCAGAAGCGCTGATGGTCACAAGGCGCAAGTGCCTTGGTGAACACATCAGCAGTGTTGGCCTCAGAGGCCACGTACGCAAGTCGCAACTGACCACGCTGCTGCAGCTCACGAGCAAGGAAGTAGCGGAGAGCAATGTGCTTCGTTCTGTGCTCCAAGCGCTGCTCTCGACACAAGGCCAGCATAGCCTTGTTGTCTACGTACAGCACTGGAGGAGAACGAGGCGGCTCTCCAAGGTCAGTCAGCAGGTAGGTGAGCCAGCGAAGCTCCTGTGCAGCCATGGCCCCGGCGTAGATCTCAGCCTCACAACTGGAGCCGAGAACCGAAGACGAGCGAGTAGACCGCCACGAGACAGAGCCGGAACCAAGGCTGAAGGTGTAACCCTGTGACGACCGCTGCGTAGCCTGGTCGTCAGCCCAAGAAGCGTCCGCGTGGCCGGTAAGGACCACTGGACTCCGCCCTCCAAGCACTAGCCCCATGCCTGACGTACTGCACAGGTAGCGCAATACCCTCTTCGCTGCAGCCATGTGCTCCGGTCTGTGTCTCCCAGGAGCAACATAGCGTGCAAGAATGCTCAGAGGGTATGCAAGGTCAGGTCGTGTGCAGGTCATCAGGTACATGAGGCAGCCAACAAGCTCCGCATACGGACCACTCGACTCTACGGACTCATCCGAAGGCAGAGCTGAGAGTGAGTGGCGAGTAGGCAGAGGAGTGGCCTGAGGCGAGGAGTACGTGAAGCCGAAGCGCTGAAGGACCTGCTGCACCATGTGTGACTGAGTCAAGGTAATGGTGCGGCGTGCTCTGTCCCGAGTGATCTGCAAGCCAAGGTAGCTGCGCAGTTCACCCAGGTCTGTGCACGTGTGTCTCTTCAACAGCTCGGACTTCACGTAGGCGAGTCCAGCAGTGTCCGCTGTGGCAAAGACCAGGTCGTCGACGTACACGAGGATGTAGAACGGCGGCAGGGAAGTGTCGGTGCGAAGAAACAGCGACGGGTCAGCAGTAGAAGGAGCAAACCCAAGAGCCGCAAGCGTAGTCCTCAGTGTGTCGTGCCACTCACGCGGTGCCTGGCGGAGACCGTAGACTGGCCGTCGGAGGCTCCACTGGGTGCCAGGAGGGAAAGTCCCAGTGAAGCCAGGTGGACGGCGAAGCCAGATCTCCTCGTGCAGGCTACCCTGTAAGAACGCAGTGCTGAAGTCGAGAGAGTGAAGCTCGTAGTCGCGCTGAGCGGCTATGTGCAGCAGCACCCGAAGAGTAGTCATCTTCGGGGTGGGAGAGAAGGTCTGAAAGTAGTCAACTCCCTGCCGCTGACTGAAGCCACGAGCAACGTACCGTGCCTTGAAGACAGGTGGAGAGCCTGGCGGCCGCTTCACCCTGAAGATCCACATGCCACTGACGATGTTCGCCCCAGGAGGGGGAACCGCGTCAACGTAGGTGCCTGTGGACTTCCAGGAAGCCATCTCTGCATCCATAGCTGCCTGCCACTGAGAGGAGTAGGGACCCTCTACGGCCTCCGCGTAAGAACGCGGAGTCGGGATGTCTAGTGCATCCGGGTCTCCCTCAGGGGCAAGCAGTACAGACGCGAGATGAGGTGAAGCAGCCGCTAGACACTGTAACTCCTCCTGCCTGTCCTCTAGGACGTCCGTGCCAAGAGCACACTCACCCCCGACGGACGGAGGACAGACAGACGCAGACTCAGCAACAAGACTAGCAGCGTAGTCGAGACGACAGCGAGCAGCAAAGTCGACGAGCTCAGCGACTAGAGCAGACGCAGCAGTGGACTCAAAAGAGGGGTCAGTGACGACAGTAGCAAGCAGACGCGTGACAGTGGGACTGGCAGCACGAAGAGAGTCCGACTCAGGGTCCGCAAGCGCAGGAAGAGAGGACTCAGGAGGAGAAGGCAAAGGGGCACGCAGAGGAGCAGTGGACGGACGTAAAGACATCCGGTGCGTGCCAGGGACAGGAGGAGGACGCTGACGCGAACTGCGACCACTAGCGCGAGCAGCACGAACAGGCGACGCGGGACGAGACGCAGGCTCACGACGCTCAGCAAGACCTCCAGTAGGACCAGTGTAAGGAGAGGGAGCAGGCAGTGGAGAGGAAGGCTCCAGTAGGGGCTGCGACTGGAAAGGCGGTGGACCCTCTACTGGAGGAGAAAGACCAAGAACCTGCTGAAGGAGCGGAACGAAGTACGGCCGAGGCCGCGCGGCAGCTCCAGACTCAGCAGGGACAGCACCAGCACCCTCAGCGACAGCACCAGCGCCACCCACACCTCCAGCGGCAGGACCAACAGCAGCAGGCTCAGCACGAACGCCCTCAGCAGCTCCAGCTCCAGGAGGACCTGCAGGGCCAGCAGCTCCGGGACCGGCTGCACCCGCACCCTCGACGGTCGAAGAAGC